TACCAAAGAGACCATCTTATCACAAGCAGAACTGGTTTGTTCCACTTTGGAGTAAGCTGTTGGGGGAAGAATCAGTTTGGTTGTGTGTTTCCATGACTGATGAAGTCTTCTGGATTGAAGGTGAAACATTTCAGCTAAAAAAAAATAATAAATAAACTGTACAGATGACCTGACTGAAAAATGTTTGGTATGTAGAATTAAAACAAAAAGGCATAATTTGAAGCAAAAAAAAAAGAGAAGTGAATAAGCACAAATCACCAACATTTGTGTTGACTAAAAGTTTTTACATAATTTACATAAACTATCACAACACTATCACAACAGGAAACAGAATTACTGAGTAGGAAACAAGATCAAGAAATCCCAAACAGAGCAACAAAGGGGGCACTCCAGTAAAGGCAGAGATAGAAGTGATATTCTGGGTATTGTGTATTAGTAAAACATGACAGATTTTATTCAGCAACATGTGGTGAAAATCTACAGGGCTTTGTTAACTTTTGCTAGAATATACTACAAAGTATCAACACAAAATATTACAGCTAGGAAATCAGTTCATCACAGCTAAAAAAAAAAAAGAAAAACAAATCGTGAACACCAATGAATTATTAACAACCTCTTTTTACCTTCTGAAATGCTCCGTGTGAGATGCATGTGCATGAGCATGCTCACGAGTGTGTGCTTGATGCAATGTAACACATATGTGTATGTAACAACACTGGCGGATGGTGTAAATAATAGATGAAGGCATAAACAGGAAGAAGAAAGCTCTTGAGCTCTCGGAGTGTGCGCATTTGTGTCCTACGGGTTGTGTGCAGGCAGAAGACGTACCGCACAGACAGATGGGTAATTATCAGGCTGACGACTCAAGGGTCTTTGCCACTGCAAGAGACACAATGCATTTGTGTATAGGGCAGATTTAGCAACAATGAATTCTACAAGGGAAAATGAAGATTTGAAAAGAATTACTAGAAAGAGAAGATAAAATATGCCAGCTTTTTAGACTTTTGATACACAATGCACATATTCTAATATATAGCATAGCATAAAACATTTGTTCTTCTTTTTATTTTTCTTCTTGCCAAAGGTTAAAGCATTACCGGTAGTTCTGAGTTTGAGGTTTTGTGAAAAGGCTATGAACAAATATTATCATACATGTTTTAATAAAACAGCCATAGTTTGGAAAAATACAGTTTAATTCTTAATGGCATGACATGCTAGCAGCTTTTCTATCAGGGCCAAGACCCAAGTGGATTGCTGCTGACTTAAAGCAATTTACATCCTTTTTTTTTTTTAAGTATATTTCTGCAATGGCAGAAAAGAGGTGAAAAAGAGAGTCCAGGCAAGATGGAGTGGATGGAGAAAAGCTTCAGGAGTGATTTGTGACAAAAGCGTGTCAGCAAAGGTCAAAGGAAAAGTTTACCAGACAGTGGTGAGACAAACTACATTTTATGGTCTGGAGACAGAGACATTGACACAAAGTCAAGAGAAAGAGCAAGTGGTGGAAATGAAGATGGTGAGGTTCTCCTTAGGATTCAAGAATTCAAGGTTCCTTATTTGTCATTCACACCACATGTGGTACCTGTGGTGGAACAAAATGGTGTACATGTATCGGTAATGCTTAGAGAGGTCCGGACACCTTGTAACAAGTGTTTACGCTAACCGTTCAAAGTTATGTAATAAATGTTGACCGACCTCAATCAAAATAATAATGTGAGTTCTTTAACAGTGTTGTAAGTCCCCTCACTCCAACAAAGACACAAGAATCTATCAGTTAAAATTGCAATTCTGTAACATTTATTTTCAGTTTGAATAATGACAATATGAATTTATGGCAAATATGAAATGTGAATAAATAACCAAATAGTGTTATTTCAAAAGGGGTAAGTGGAGTGACGAGGATGGATAAGATTGGGAATGAGATCATCAGAGGTACAGCACAGGTTGAACAACTGGGAGATAAAGTTAGAGAGGCCAGACTGAGATGGTTTGGACATGTCCAGAGGAGGGACAGTGGGTATACTGGTAGAAAGATGTTAGAAATGCAGCTGCCAGGAAAAAGACAAAGAGGAGCTACATGGATACAGTTAGAGAGGACATGGAAATAGTTGGAGTGAGGTTAAAGGATGCAGAGGACAGAGTGAGATGGAGGAGGATGACTCGCTGTAGTGACCCCTGAATCTGAAAGAAGTTCTTTCTGCAGTGGCTAATATATTTTTTTACGTAATTGTTTACATTGGAGTTCTGATTTATCCTGTTGTACTTTTTTGATATTTCTAACAGAGTAACCATGTGATGTAAAAGTTTACTGTCATGTAAAGGCTGACAAAGTATCATTCATATAAAACTTTTGAAATTGACGTTGTTAAAGATGACACCATCCTACTTTTAACCACATCACTTCACTTCCTCCATTTCAGCAAAGTTAGGATCTTCTAATTACCATAGCAGTGTCTTTGTGAAACAGGGCAGGACATAGACTCAGTGCTTTGATTATAATTCCTCTGAATCAGTCAGTGGTCATCATGTGTCACCTCATCATGTAAATCACATAGAGTTGGTACTGCCTTTAATGTAACATGTAAAACAAACAAACAAACACCAGTAGGGTCAAGCAAACCATTCATTATGATGTAAAAATGTATTCTAAGCATACATCTTATTCTCAAGTCCACATTCACATCAGGTTCACTGTGTTCACTCCAGGGACTGTTGCACTAAATGAAAGATGATTGCTTCTGACTTATTTAGTGCAACTTTGCCTGCACTAAATCATAGAGCTCCTGTGTTTTCAGAACAGAGGAAATGATAAAAGATGACCTTGTTATTATTTTTTTATTTATTACGGGGGGGGGGGGGGGGGGGGCACTGGGGGCATCTTTCCCCACACTCTCTCTAAAGCATTTTAAACACCAAAATATTGTTTCCAATATAAGACAAGTTATTGAACATCAATACAAAATATTACAAACATGTTTAATTGACTTTAAATAAAGTGTGCACTGAAAAGTTTTAATTCTTGAGACAAGGTAAAGCTAAAAACATCACAGTATTCTCTTTCTGTCTGTCAGGTTCATTAAATAGAATAAAATTAAGTATATTCTCCAAGGCCTGTAATAAAAGAAACAAACAAAAAAAGTGTTTAATTTATAAAAGTAGTCCTGAATTGTTTTCTTGAAAGTGAACAGTAATTTTTATTTCTGTGTGATTTTATTCTTAACATTTGAAATACTTCCAAAGAAGAGAGCCTTACATTCTTAGAATATATATATTTTTATGTCAACCACTAAAATAAAAAATGCTTTCTCATTTTCTAAGTCAAGTTTATATTTATTTAAAGAACATACAGTACATGATTTATTCATCCATGCATACAGGTGCTGGTCATAAAATTAGAATGTCATGAAAAAGTTGATTTATTTCTGTAATTCTATTCAAAAAGTGAAACTTGTATATTATATTCATTCATTACACACAGACTGATGTATTTCAAATGTTTATTTCTTTTAATGTTGATTATTATAACTGACAACTAATAAAAAAAACAAATTCATTATCTCAGAAAATTAGAATATTACTTAAGACCAATAAAAAAGGATTGTTAGAAATGTTGGCCAACTGAAAAGTATGAACATGAAAAGTATGAGCATGTACAGCACTCAATACTTAGTTGGGGCTCCTTTTGTCTGGATTACTGCAGCAATGCAGCGTGACATGGAGTCAATCAGTCTGTGGTACTGCTCAGGTGTTATGAGAGCCCATTGCTCTGATAGTGGCCTTGAGCTCTTCTGAATTGTTGGGTCTGATGTATCACATCTTCCTCTTCACAGTACCACCACAGATTTTCTTTGGGGTTAAGGTCAGACGAGTTTGCTGGCCAGTTAAAAACAGGGATACCATGGTCCTTAAACCAGGTACTGGTAGCTTTGGCACTGTGTGCAGGTGCCAAGTCCTGTTGGAGAATTAAATCCACATCTCCTTAAAGTTGGTCAGCAGCATTAAGCATGAAGTGCTCTAAAATTTCCTGGTAGATGACTGTGTTGACCTTGGACCTCAAAAAACATAGTGGACCAACACCAGCAAATGACATGGCACCCCAAACCATCATTAACTGTGGAAACTTGACAGTGGACCTCAAGCAATGTGGATTCTGTGCCTATCCTCTCTTCCTTCAGACTTTGGGACCTTGATTTCCAAAGGAAATGGAAAAATGACTTTCATCAGAAAACATAACTTTGGACCACTCAGCAGCAGTCCCAGGCGAGATGCTTCTGATGCTGTCTCTTGTTCAAGAGTGGCTTGACACAAGGAATGCGACAACTGAAACCCATGTCTTGCATATGTCAGTGTGTGGTGGTTCTTGAAGCACTGACTCCAGCTGCAGTCCACTCTTTGTGAATCTCCCCCACATTTTGGAATGGGTTTTGTTTCACAATTCTGTCCAAGGTGCGGTTATCCCTATTGCTTGTACACTTTTTTCTACCACATTTTTTTCCTTCCCTTCTCTATTAATGTGCTTGGACACTGAGCTCTGTGAACAGCCAGCCTCTTTAGCAATGCCATTTTGTGTCTTGCCCTCCTTGTGCAAGGTGTCAATGGTCGTCTTTTGGACAACTGGCAAGTCAGCAATCTCCCCCATGATTGCGTAGCCTACAGAACTAGACTGAGAGACCATTCAAAGGCCTCTGCAGGTGTTTTAACTTAATTAGCAGTTTAGAGTGTGGCACTAGGGATCTTCAATATTGAATTTTTTCACAACATTCTAATTTTCTGAGATACTGAGTATTTTTTTAATTAGTTGCCATTTATAATCCTCAACATTAAAATAAATAAACATCTGAAATATCACTCTGTGTGTAATGAATGAATATAATATACAAGTTTCACTTTTTGAATGGAATTACTGAAATAAATCAGCTTTTTTCACGATATTATAATTTTATGACCAGCATCACATGTCATGAGTCTACAAAAACAACACTCCAAGACAAAGATTGTTTTAAAAACCTGCATTGATCCTAACAAGAACATGGTGCTCAACTTTAATTTGTTTTCCACGTACTAGACTACAGGAATGTGGATTTTTGTGTGTGCGTGTTTGTGTGTGTGGGTGTGTGTGTGTAAGGGTGTGAATGTGTGTGTAATCTTTATAGGCATTGATTTTTTTTTGCCTACGGACAGTTATTATGGAATCATATTGATCTTTTTAATGTACTACCAACATTTTTTATTAAACATTGTTAGTGTAGGAAACATTGTTTTAATTTATTTATGAGAAAAGAAAAACTGTGTTATATTTATGTAATTAAAAAAAACAAGAGCGTAGACTGAGCATATGAAAAAATAAAAGAAAAATGAAAGAAGAAATTAGGCATTTTTGACACTCCTCTTATGGGATGGTAAATTATAACCGACCATGTTTAGGGTCAGCCAACGCAATCAGAAGATGAGCAAATTATTTGTGTAAAATTCATGTGAATTCACTTATAATGTTTTTGTTTGTTTGGTTTTTCGTAGTACTCATCGGAGGATCACATTCACTCCCACTGGCCAGGTGGCTGACCTTTAGCCTTTCCTGCTTCTTCTCACTCCTCTACAGATGATGAGCCCTCCCACAGCACCACCACCAACCAGTCTGTCCTGACAGACACTATCCTAACTGGCGCTTTTTTTAATCATGTCTCTTTCCCCTCCCTGTCTTCCTCTGCATGCCTGTCTCCTCACCTGTCTGTCCCCTTTGTTTACTGTCACTGTTTCCTCTCAGTTTTATTCTTCTAGCTCAAGCAACATAAAGCCTTTATCTACTTCTGTCCTTCACTTTCTCTAAATATTTTAACATATGGACATATAGCACCTAATTTTCATGATGTATTTAAGGTTAAATTAATGAAACGTGACATTTTCTCCTTGGTCACTCTTTTAGAATCACCTTATTTATGTCAGTGACATGCTGTTGCCTTTCCATCTACACTTCATACTGTACACCTTATTTGTCCATGTGAGCCCCCTTTGTGTACCTCCTCACCATTGAACCACTTTCCCTAATGGCCTCTTGACTTAATTCCCCTGACCCACCAAAGTGTTGGACACTTTACCAAAGATCACAAAGAATCTGAGGGAAAATGAAGGAACATGGACACCTGAAAGAAACTGAAACAGAAGAGACAGCGATAACGGAAAGAAACAAAAAAAACTTTTTGTCACGAAACTGACACTTTTTTGCCCCATTCTTTGGGGTGTTGGGATCTACAGAAAGACAAATAGGGCTGAAGAACCAGCTGGCTGAATGAAACAAGTCAAACTGTTGAGAAAAGGAGGCTTTTGAAGACTGCTATGAAAGCTGGGCACCCCTTGTAGCCCCTCTGCTTGCCACAAAAGACAAACCTCAGCGCAAATTATACGTGTATACATGTATCTCTCTCTATAAATATTTAATATACATATAAATAATATAACAAAGTTTAAACTAAAATACTACAAGGACAATGAATGACTTTGCTAAGTGAAATTAAAGAAGCACAATGTTCTTACAACCTCTGTTGTACCTTTGGGTTTATTCTACTTCTTATGTGATGTTGCGATTTGTCAGACCTATTCAGTGTTTTTGATATATATATATTTTTTGTTTGTTTTGTTATGGCATCCTAAAGGTCGAGGAAACAGAGTAATAAAGTATTATATTCATATCAATAAGAAGTAGAGAGGATGATTTATGATCCAGTGTCCGTTTTAAACACCTGGAGGAAATACACAGATGACCCAAGACATCTGGAAAATACCTTTACCTTTCTTTGCACATACAAGACAAAAGAACCCCCCACATACATGAGCGCGCACACACACACACACACACACACACACACACACGTTTTCTTTGTTGCCATCATAGACAGCCCTGCAGCTCTCCCATGGCCTAAACCAAGCAGAACAAAATAAATGAAAGTTTGCTCAATTTTAAACGTTATACTCATGTACTTTTTGTCATACTGTCTTATGTTTGAGCCCAATGTATTGAATGATTAATAACATGTCATTTATTGATCATTGGTCATTTAAGTCAATACTACAAAGAGAAGCCCTGTGTTGTACACAAAGCAGAACAGAGCCAGAAATCATATCAGTCATGTGTTTTCCCATACAGCAGTGTGTCTGTGTCTCCCAGATGTGCAAAGTTGAGTATTGGGGTTCTTTAACATTATTCAATTACTGCTGAATGTCTGTGGTAGAAACACTTTTCATAACCATGAATAGTATTGTTAAAGTTAGGCAATACTCACATCTATTACTCTGTATATATGCATTTTTATTTGATTTAGAGAGTCAAAATAACATAGTTTTTTTTTTTGTTATATATCATTAGTACAATTATTTTTTTGTACATACAGTGCATGTTGTTATTGTCTAACATCTGTGTTTTATCCATTTTTAATTTAATTATGTGTTGGATTTGCCGCTCCATACTTCATCTAATTTGAAACAGCTCCGTGTTTGACATCACACTGTTGTTGCATGTGCTTCTGTACTTTCATTACCATGTGATGACATGAGAATCAGTAGCTTCAACACCTCAGGCTGCTTCATGTCCACAACATTTGGATCATTGCATTGGATTTGTCTTTGTTTGTTTGTTTTAATTTGTTGTTGCTGTTTATTGCCTGTTCAGATTGTATCACACGTTTATCAAATCAAAATGCACATAACCTCAAATAAGGACCTGCCTATTTGTTTTGACTTGCTAAGATTTGATGTTTACATGATTTTTTTTTAAATTATTTATTGAAAAATATCAAAGTTGTGTTAAATATTTAAGACAGTGCTATAGAACCCACATAGAAATATTAAGATATATAAAAAAACTTTGAAGTAACATCAGAGTTTTGACATATTTCTTTTACATTAGCTTTTCCCATACCATTGTCCAATTATGTATCTGATTATGGCGACCAAGTTTATTTTTCAATACAAAACTTTCAGTTTCTCTCCTCATTTAGTTTGTTTGTTACTTCTAGAATTATTAGAAGATTTATTAGCATCACTGATGGAATAGAAGAAAAGTTAAGTACATTAAAACATTGAAAGCGTTGGTTATTTGTCATGCTAACAGTCATGTCAGTCGTTGGATTGCCACAAACTTGAACAGTAACAGGTGAATTCCTACATTTGTAATCATTACAAGTGATTATGAGATTGTTTCTAAATCACACATATTATTGTACTGTTGTAATCAGTCTTGGTTAACTTTTCAAAATCTAACTCTTCTATTTATTTTCATGCATTGTATATATGTAAAACTCAAAACTGAAGAGTGTCACCAAACATCAATAGCTATTCCAACCTATTCCCCAGCCTTTATATTGTACAGTGCTAAATTATTTACAGTAACACATTTTAAGTTGTGTAAGAAAACTTAATGCCAATCAGAAAAGTAACATTACTCTCATTTCCATTTTTTTATTTTAGTCAAATCAGATTTTCATCACAAAACAATGGCCTCTGAAAATCAATAGGCAGGACATTGTTGTTACCTTATTTGTTTTTGTACCTGGTGGTGCTTTATTCAGACAAGCAGAAAGATGGTAAAATGTTAACATCAGCACTAGCTGATTCTAATTTTACTTACTGTTAACAATGATGCTAATGGAATACTACAAAAATGAGAATTTACCAGCAAAAACAACACCATACCCATCAAATGATGAACACACATTTAAGACAACAAATAATTTAGAGTGGCACATTACTAATTAGTTAAACATTTTAAGTAAACAGTATCAAAATAAGTGGGTTGCAGTTGAAAACAACATAAAACGACATCTAACTTTAAATAATAGACATTGTGGTCTCCTTTTATTGCTTGTCAGTTATCATCAAAACTCATTGGTCATGTTGCACATGTACCTTTGTTATAAAGATTTTCACAGATCAGATTAAAAATATTGGTAATCAGTTTGAGAATGGTGTTGAGATAAAGGTCATATCTGAATGTATCACAACATTATGACTTGAGGAGATACAATTATTGATTATTAGAAGAGAGAGAAGTATGGGAAGGTAACAAAACTTTGCATGCACATCAGTGGACATTAACATTGGCTTCACTTCTCAGACTCTTTAAGTCGTTTCCTCATATACAGTTAGTGTGGTGGAAAGTGAGAAGCACAGCTGCCACACATTAACCCACTCATTACCACCCCCACCCCAGTTTTTGTTCATCTTGTGCCCATCTTCAGCAGTCACTGGGTGAGTCTGGGTATGCCCTGCACATTCTGTGAGTCTATCACACAGCTACATAGAGAGGAATGAGACAGACGCCCATGCTCTCACTCACACCTGGTGACAATGTATTTACCAGTTAACCCAAGATCCATGGTTTTGGTTAGTGGAAGGAAATCAGAGTACTCAGAGAACATCCACAACATGCAAAGTGAGAACATGCAACCTCCACAAAGAAAGGCTGCAGCCAGGTTATGAACATGCAATTTTTGTGCTGTGAGATAACTCTAAACACTGCTCCACCGTGCCACCAACTGTCTAGACAAGTGACAAATAAACTGAAAAAACAAACAAAAATAAAACAATTGCAAAAAACAACACCCATAAAACCAACTATGTTGTTATTGACTGTATTGTACTGTCTAATTGTAAACACACAGTAGGGAGACTGGTTCCACAAATGTACCTAACGTGAAATGGAATCTTAAATGTCTTAACAAAGCTAAACCTAAAAGGAGACAAATAAAAAAGTTAAATCTGGTCCTCTGGACATTAAAAAAAAAAAAATAAATTGTAGAAACATTTTGTCTTTCATCCGGAAGACTTCTTCAGTTTTCTCAGTCTTATAAATAGCACCTTCTCGTAGTGGATCAACCAGTTTGCTAAAAGGACACAGTGGGTTAAAAATGAAATACATGACCCAATGATGACCATAATCAGAACATTTGGATTCTCTGTCATCAAACTGTTGATAAACAATAAATAAGAATGATCAGTGAACTTGAGCACTTGTAAAAAAAATTACAAAACTTAACTTCTGGTGTTTGTTCATTACAACAATCAGTCAATTCCATTTGTTCTGTCAGCAGGGTATTCATTTATTCATATACTAAACAAGTGAACCTGCACCTACACACACACAGATTTTTGAAATTGTTCAGTCAGCTAATACTGAATGATGTACGACAACCTGACTGTTAATGTGTCAACTGAACAGTTCTAACTGGACCTCCAAGGAACTATTTGGACACGGGTGTGCTCGGCCTCTGTTCTCTCTTTTTACTGTAAAAGTTGCCGTTTCATGAAGGAAGAGGATCATGATGGTATTTTTTATCTGGCAAAAATAAAAACATAAAATACTGCTCCATGTTTACTGTCATTTGTTTAGAAATGGTATATCAGTGTGACAAATCAGAACTGAGCAACGTCTCTTCATTTGGTCATTCAAATTTGGTTCATCCATCCTTTATCTTTAGAATTATCTTCTTCCTTTTTGGGTAACAGCGGTCACTGGTGCCCATGTCAAGGAGTCACTGTGCGAGAGATGGGGCGCACCCCGAACAAGATGGCAAGTCCATCACAGGGACACATAGAGACATCTTTTCATTCAACCTTTATTTATTCAGGTTCTAAAAGTGACATTTGAGTGTTTTGTGGAAATACTGGTGTTGCCAGACAAAAATCATTGATAAGCCATAGGTTCTTCCTTAT